AAAGTCTCTATTTATTTAAAAGCTATAACATTCGTTTGCTTGTCAGAGTCAGAACTGGCGATGAAATTTTCTAGCATTTATATTAAACGATGAAATTACTAGCATTATATACAAACGAAATAAATTTTTTTTTGTCCTGGTGTAGTTTCCACAAAACCTATTACTCTCAAACCACAAATTAATTTGAACGCCGACAATTAGTGGCGTTTATAGCCAAAAATTAGTGCTAATTTTAAATTAATCAAGAATTAGTGGCGTTTAATATGTCTCAAGTAATTAGTGGCATTCATTAAATGTCTATACTTAACAATCACAAACGGCGTTTACTACAAACGCTAACGATTAACGCCAACTATCACTTTTTTTCTTGTAGTATTCAGAGGCAAAATTGTGTCCTAAAGTACCAAATTCTACTCACTAAAACATCACAGTTAATCTTCAAATAATTTAGCTTTAATCATGTCAACGATCTTGAAAAATGATCAACCACACTTGAACGGAGACTTGACCTAGACCCTTACAAAGTTAGCAATGAAGAATTTCTCGCAATGCATGAGAGGAAGCATAATAGAGCGATGCCACCCACAGATCCTCAACTTCTTTTCCCAGAAAAAGGGAGAAAGAAGTAGAAAATTTGAAAAAAAACCTTTTTTTAATGTTTTATTAATCTCTCGGACTTCCACTTTTAAATTTCAAGTAAATTTATCGTCTATATTTATGCGATCTTCTTCTAATCTCTAGCTTTAATTTATTTAGTTTGAATGAAATGGTTCTTTTCCATTAGATAATAATGTCATCAAGAATAGTGCAACATTTATGTCACCAATGTGGAGTGTAAAAAAAGTGACAACAAGAGGAATAAAAAAAGAGAATCGCATTAAACTCATGGGCTTGGTTTTAATTTCGAGACTGACTAACGTTTGTGTATGAATATTAAAATGTTGTCCTGGTCACTACGCCTAGTCTATCTTTAAGCAATGACTCATGCCCCAGGATAAGTCTATCAAGAATCCTAAATTTTTCAAGAAATGGATTCTCACCAATGTTTGAATTACTAGAGTCAATATTTGTACAACTCGAGCCCATAAATCAAAAGTTATATATATGGAACAATTGGGTAACAAGAATCTCATACAGAGATGCCCATCACTATAGAGGGAGGAATAAATGTTTGCTACCTAAACGGTCGATTTTAATCAAATTAATCATCTAGCGCAAAAAAATATATTGAACTCGACAGAAATTTATAGGTATTATTGATGTCAGTTTTATTAATTGAATCAAATGAACCGAACGATGAATGACAGATGTTGCAAGCAAAGATATTAAGGAATAGAAATATTTGTATTTATAGTAAATTGGGGATGGGGACAAACATCTAAAGCAGAATAAGTGAACACATATGAGAGATAGGTAGGAGAGAGATTTAGCTAAAACAAACGTGAAAAATTTTCCACGTACTAACGATGGGAATTAATATAGGAATAGGATAGTAGTGTCATTAGACTCTCGTTACTTCTGCACAGATGCATTCTTGTATGTCTGTCTATTTTCATGCAACGTTTTCAGGGATGTCCAATTCCACCACCACCCCGCCACCAAATCCACCACCTCCGCCACCAAATCCACCGCCTCCACCCCACCTGCTCCTCCACCAAACCCACCGCCAGCACCTCCTCCTATACTCCACCAATTCCGCCACCTTTGCCGAATCCTCCGCCGACTCCACCACCAGAGCCACCTCCTATTCCACCACCAGCACCTCCACCAACCCCCACCACCTTTTCCGATTCCTCCACCACCACCTTTTCCAAATCCTCCACCGGCGCCCCACTCCACCTTTTCCATGCCACCACCTACTCACACACCTTTTCCAAATCCTCCCCAGCTCCACCACCTACTCCTCCACCAGCTCCCCCTCCAACTCCACCACCCTTACCAATGCTCCACCAACACCTCCCCCAGCTCACCACCTACTCCTCCACCAGCTCCTCCTCCAACTCCACCACCCTTGCCAATGCCTCCACCAGCCTCCTCCCAAATCCACCGCCTCCACCACCTCCCCCTCCCTTGCCACCACCTTTTCCAAATCCTCCACCGGCGCCCCCACCAACTCCACCACCTTTTCCATGCCCACCACCTACTCCACCACCTTTTCCAAATCCTCCCCCAGCTCCACCACACTACTACTCTCCACACAGCTCCCCTCCAACTCCACCACCCTTACCAATGCCTCCACCAACACCTCCCCCAGCTCCACCACCTACTCCTCCACCAGCTCTCCTCCTCCAACTCCACCACCTTGCCAATGCCTCCACCAGCCCCTCCCCCAAATCCACCGCCTCCACCACCTCCACCTCCCTTGCCACCACCTTTTCCAAATCCTCCACCCCGGCGCCCCACCAACTCCACCACCTTTTCCATGCCCACCACTACTCCACCACCTTTTCCAAATCCTCCCCCAGCTCCACCACCTACTCCTCCACCAGCTCCCCTCCAACTCCACCACCCTTACCAATGCCTCCACCAACACCTCCCCCAGCTCCACCACCTACTCCTCCACCAGCTCCTCCTCCAACTCCACCACCCTTGCCAATGCCTCCACCAGCCCCTCCCCCAAATCCACCGCCTCCACCACCTCCACCTCCCTTGCCACCACCTTTTCCAAATCCTCCACCGGCGCCCCCACCAACTCCACCACCTTTTCCATGTCCACCACCTACTCCACCACCTTTTCCAAATCCTCCCCCAGCTCCACACCAACTCCCCCTCCAACTCCACCACCTTTACCAATGCCTCCACCAACCCCTCCCCAGCTCCACCACCTACTCCTCCACCAGCTCCCCCTCCAACTCCACCACCCTTGCCAATGCCTCCACCAGCCCCTCCCCCAAATCCACCGCCTGCACCACCTCCAACTCCACCACCCTTACCAATGCCTCCACCAGCCCCTCCCCCAACTCCACCACCCTTGCCAAATCCACCGCCTGCACCACCACCAACTCCGCCACCCTTGCCAATCCCACCGCCAACTCCACCTCCCTTACCAAATCCACCACCTGCACCACCTCCAACCCGCCACCCTTGCCAACTCCTCCACCTTTTCCAATTCCACCACCGGCTCCACCACCAACACCATGCCCGCCTCCCAGACCACCACCACCACCAGCTCCTCCACCTACTCCACCACCAATCCCATGCCCGCCACCGAGCCCGCCGCCACTACCCCCACCAAACCCACCCCCACCCCCACCCCCACCACCACCACCAGCTCCACCCCCATATCCACCTCCAAATCCCCCACCACCTCCAGCTCCTCCCCCATATCCACCTCCAAACCCTCCACCACCACCACCTCCACCTCCAACGCCAAACCCACCTCCGTTACCAATACCCAGAAACTTCTCCTCGTCATCATGCCCCACCACATCTCTACCCACCACCACACTCACCACAAGAAGAAAAAAGCAAAGCCATGACAAAACTCCAACTCGCACTGCACCTCGTATCATCTTTGCTTGAACAATACTCAGAAATCTCTGCAACTCTCCACTGCTCTTTCATTTAGAGCATGAGGGTTTTTATACACTATTTCTAAGCCTCTCCTACTTTCATCCTCAGTTTGATTTGCATTAAATGGTCTCAGCTACCAACTGATCTCCACATTTGGATAGAATGCTTACAGTTATAATCACGCGTTGTACATCTTTAATGGATGTTTTGCTTTTGAGTAATGATAACATAAATTTAATAAAATTTAATTTTTAAATTCACGTAACATTTTCTTTTACTTTTTCCCATAAAGCCTCCGGAGCAAACGGGAAGATCTGACACCTATCTTCTCCCTCACATGGCTGTGATCTGCGATGATTCATAGACTTGTTCACTCTGGGGCTCTGTAGTAGGTATTTAGTACGTGAAACGTATATATATCATGCATCCGAGGAAGACTACATTGATGAATTCGGTACTATATTAAAAATGCAAAAAGTAGAAAAATTATACTCAGTAAAAATCTGTGATCTATTGTAAAGTTTACAGCTTTTAAAAAAAAATTATAATTAAATAAGTGCATTCATCATCTATCACAAAATTTTATGATCAATCATGCATATTATAATACATTTGCTGTGTAAAAGTAGGATTTCAATTATGCCGAATGTCATTTAAACTTAAAATTTATCTAATTTGTTTACCTACCTGATGGTAACATAGTTCAATATAATATATGACACGACTCTTTATATATCTTTTATACACGATATGAATCCGATATAACATGACTCACTAGAGACAAATTAATAAACAAATCCGATATGAGGTGAATATTTTTTTAATATAAACTCGCTAATACCCGATATAAAGCTACGTCACCCGACACAATTAACAGCACTATGCAAGGGGTAAACCTATGACCTATCCTAATTGGTAAGCAACTTGCAAGGTAAATAGAAATTAATTACATGTTATGCGTGGTTAGAGAGCTTTTGACCCATCTTATGATCTTTTAAAAAAAGTCTCAAATAAAGGTGGGTTTCAAAATATTTTTCAAACTCATGTCATTTTAAAACGTCAATTGGTTTGACGTTTTTAAGTCAAAAGACGTTAGTTAATTTGACATCATTAACTTAAAAACGTCAGATCAATTGACATTTTTAAACTTATTATAGGTCCCAATTTACTGTTTAAACACGGCAATTGGACTGACGTCTTTAGAAGAAGCGTCAATCCAAATGACGCGTTTGTTTTAAAATCTGACCGCCTCAGACCAAGCCCACAAAGTCCATATAACTTAAAAAGACCGCTGTCTTCGTGCCTAAATAGAAAAATTATATTAATATTTATCACAAATATTGTCATCACGTCAATGAATGCTGCTTCCATATATGCCTATTTTAAATTATTATAAGTGACTCCTATTATTTTCTCTCGGATTTTAATATAGTCCCAAAAATTTTAATTTTTTTAATTTAATTCATCAATTATCAATTTTATTTCAATTAAATCATTGATAGTTGAGAGACTAAAATAAGACAAGTGAAAGTTAATTGATTAACTTGAAATTGGAGATAAAATTCATGACTAACTATGAAATTTACCGTATTTTTTTATAAAATATTACAAAAGCATCAAATAAATATAATTTTTAATCAATTTCTAATTAATTTTAATTTCTAAAAATGTTTTGCTCCCTCTCTTTTTAAAGGATGATTTTTTATTTATTTATTTAAAAATTTAATTACATTCAATAAATAAATTTTGATAATTTAAATATACTTATATTTTTTAGCATATGAAACTTAAAAAATTGGAAAACTTATACATATAATTAATTTTTTTATTATATAATTATAAATGCATACATAAAATAAAAATAAAATTTTATTTGTAATGTTGATCATGTCGACATTAATATTTATTAAGCTGTGAAAAAACATAAGTTATTCAGAACGTGTACATGTTAAAAAAAGATGTCAACAATGTGATTGATATTCAAACAACATAAAGGATTATCGAGTACACATAAACATGATGGGATAAAAGTGTCAGACGCATCATCATCTCAGTCAGAGAAACGTTAATGAGCTTTCTGATTAATGTTAGTGGGGTTATATATATCATGAGCTTTCTGATTTCTCTGATTGGAACGATGATGCGTCTGACACTTTTATCCCATCATGTTTATGTGTACTCGATAATCCTTTATGTTGTTTTGAATATCAATCATGTTGTTGACATCCTTTTTTAACGTGTACACGATCTAAATAACTTAGGTTTTTTCACAGCTTAATAAACATTAATGTCGACATGATCAACATTGCAAATAAAATTTATTTTTATTTTATGTATGCATTTATAGTTATATAATAAAAAAAATTAATTATATGTATACGTTTTCAATTTTTTAAGTTTCATATACTAAAAAATATAAATATATTTAAATTATCAAAATTTATTTATTGAATGTAATTAAATTTTTAAATACATAAAAAAATCATCGTCTCAAAAAGAGAGGGAGCAAAATATTTTTAGAAATTAAAATTAATTAGAAATTGATTAAAAATTATATTTATTTGATGCTTTTGAAATATTTTATAAAAAAAATACAGTAAATTTCATAGTTAGTCATGAATTTTATCTCTATTTTCAAGTTAATCCATGAACTTTCACTTGTCTTTTTTTAGTCTCGCAACTATCAATGATTTAATTCAAATAAAATTGATAATTGACGGATTAAATTAAAAAAATTAAAATTTTAGAGATTACATTAAAATTCGAGAGAAAATGATAGGAGTCACTTCATGATAATTACCCAAATAAATATTAATTTTTTTTTATTCAAGCATTAGATTTTTATTCAAGATTTTTTTTATTTTTTTATCCAAGCATTTTCGACTAATGTCCTTTTAGTTAATAAAATAGGCATATGTGGATGCTGCATTCATTGGCGTGATGACAAAATTTGTGATAAATATTAATATAATTTTTTTATTTAGGCATGGAGGCATCAATCTTTTTAAGTTATATGAACTTTGTGGACTTGGTCTAAGGAGTTTAGATTTTAAAACAAACGCGTCATTTGGATTGATGCTTCTTTTAAAGACGTCAGTCCAACTAACGTGTTTAAACAGTATATTGGGTCTAGCTTAAAAACGTCAAACCAACTAACGACTTTTGAAATGACCTAAGTTTGAAAAATATTTTGAAACTCACCCTTATTTGAGACTTTTTTTATTAAAAGACCATGGATGGGTCAAAAGCTCGTGGTTAGAATTTAGTTTTAGTAGCTTGACGGATAAATCGGTAAACCCATTGGACCCATGAAGCAAGTTGACCAATACAAACTTGGTTAAATATGTTTTATACTGAACTCGAGTATACACGGTTACAAGGATTTGACTTCGGCATTGTCAAAAAAAATTGGTATCATATCTCCAAATTTACTACTTCAAAACGTGTTTTTATATTTTTTATCATTATTATAAATATTTTTATCACATTTGTAGTAACTATTTTTACCATTTTTTTTAAGTATAAAAAATTTATTATTTTTGTGGGTAATTTATTACATTTGTGAATATTTTTACCATTGTTATAGTAGATATTTTTATTATTTTTTTGGATATTAAACAATAATAAAAATACTTATAAATATTGATGAGACATTTTCAAGTATTCCAAAATGAAGACACGTGTCATCGGCATCAATAAATACTTGTTACTATAATCACGACACGTACCCGTCGGATCACAAGTCCCTGTTCCCCCTAGGTACTGTTCATAGGGATCAATGACACCTCAGTACGTTACGTACCGACACGTATCCCTCGGTCGAATATAGGTACATCGGTCCCTACATGTACCACTCCCCTCGGTACCAATATGTATCCGTGCAGAATGACGTTCTCTGCTCTTGTAGAGGCTATTGATGTACAGGTCACTAGTCTAAGCTAGGCTAGGTTAGTCATCATGACCTCGTCTTACACAATTAGTGTGAAAAGGCACAAGAAGACAGAGGACACAACCAATGGAGAATGGACGCGTGACATATTGTGTCACATCAGAGATAAAAAAACCGGATGCCCTTGCTGACACACGACTTGGGAAAACAAGTATTTAATTACACCATTTCCCTTGATGAGACAACATTTAATGTGATAAGGCTCGGAACTGAAAGGTAATAAATGTCCCTAAAACTGGACATTTATTACATCCTTGCCAAGAGGAGCTCATTAAACAGTCGGCAGGTCGATGACACAGCCTTGATTGCTCGGGATCCCGAGCAGTTAAAAGAGAAGACATTCCTCATAGGAATCAGTACGCACGTTGGTCGTATCTAATGATCACCTACTGACCACACTAAAGCAATCATGAATTTTTGAAGTATAAATACTTCTCACAAAAGGCAAAACGGTATAAAATGAAAAACCTTTTCTCAAACTTATACTTTGTGTTTTCTTCTTCCCCTCTTTTAAAAACTGACTTGATCGTCGGAGGGGATACGCCGAAAAACACTCCGGCGACCTTCTAACTTGTCTTTCTCTGTTCTAGGAACCTTCTTCAGCATTACTGGACTGCTCCCTTGATCCACGACAGTCACCCATTACCGTTCCGGGCCAACAACAGATCTCAGCATGTTCCTAATAGTAAGGTTGACCATTCGACTGACTCATTCGAGTTCACCAAAGAAAATATTTGTTCTCATGTTTATATTATGCAAGATCTTGCACGCACAAATATAATAAATTTTGATATAAACAAAAAAGGTCTTTAATTGTACCGTAGCCAACTATCCCTTACGAAAAAATCGAATATAAATTAAACAAATATTGACAAGGCGGTGGTTGTACAACTTAAAAAGCACAACATGACACTTTGCATTGGTAGCTCTCTACCGAAAATATCGGGCACTATTGAGTCACACCACACACGTACAAGTTTATTTTGTAGAAAATTTTGATATAATATTAAAAAATAACTTTCAATGCCACCGACTCGGAAGTAGTGACGGTGAGTGAGCATTCTGAGCAAACAATCACAAGTTGAGTGTGTAAAATCACGTGAAGGC